ACTCCTTTCACCCTGGATAATCTCATAAAATACCACCACCTGGGAAATTTATTGATTAAAGTTCTAAATTGATTCTTCTTTGGAAAGAGATCGGGGAAGGCCTTCTGCCTGTGTCACAGAAATTAGGGAGTAGTCTATTGAAGCAAGCATCAGAAAGACAGATATCATCTTTAAGGTGAGCGCCGGGGGTAGCTTTTTGAAATTCCTGAAGTCCTGATCTGCCTTGCTTGTCAGGCCTTCTCCTCATGACCTTGTCATGGGTGGGATCTCATGTGCTGGCTCCCAGCATTTGTAGACACTAAAACGGTCAGACTTTTAATAAAAGAGAGTAATATGGTAGTGGTTACCAGGAGCTAAGGGCTGGGAGGAATAAAGATATGTTTTTTAAGGTACAAAACTTGCATCTCAGAGTAAATAAGAGCTAGAGATATAAGGTACAGAACAGTGAATTTAGACAACAATATTGTAATCATCAAGCATACTGAGACCAGTCAGTTCAGTTGCTCAGTCGTGTCCGACTCTCTGCAACCCCATGAACCACAGCACGCCACGTCTCCCTGTCCATCACCAACTGAGCCAAACCCATGTCCATTGAGTCACTGATGCCATCCAACCATCTCATCCTCTGTCATCCCCTTCTCCTCCCACTCTCAGTCTTTCCCAGCATCAGGGTCTTTTCAAATGAGTCAGCTCTTCGCATCAGGTAGCCAAAGTACTGGAGTTTCAGCTTCAACATCAGTCCTTCCAATGAACACCCAGGACTGAGCTTTAGGATGGACTGGTTGGATCTCCTTGCAGTCCAGGGGACTCTCAAACGTCTTCTCCAACACCACAGTTCAAAAGCATCAATTCTTAGGTGCTCAGCTTTCTGTATAGCTCAACTCTCACATCCACACATGACCACTGGAAAAACCATAGCCTTGACTAGATGGATGTTTGTTGACAAAGTAATGTCTCTGCTTTTTAATATGCTCTCTAGGTTGGTCATAACTTTCCTTGCAAGGGGTAAGCATCTTTTAATTTCATGGCTGCAATCACCATCTGCAGTGATTTTGGAGACCCCGAAAAATAAAGTCAGCCACTGTTTCCACTGTTCCCCCATCTATTTGCCATGAAGTGATGGGACTGGATGCCATGATCTTAGTTTTCTGAATGTTAAGCTTTAAGCCAACTTTTTCACTCTCCTCTTTCACTTTCATAAAGAGGCCCTTTAGTTCTTCTTGACTTTCTGCCATAAGGGTGGTGTCATCTGCATATCTGAGGTTACTGATACCTTTCCTGGCAATCTTGATTCCAGCTTGTGCTGCCTCCAGTCCAGCGTTTCTCATCATGTACTCTGCATACAAATTAAATAAGCAGGGTGACAATATACAGCCTTGACATACTCCTTTTCCTATTTGGAACCAGTCTGTTCCATGTCCAGTTCTAAGTGTTGCTTCCTGACCTGCATACAGGTTTCTCAAGAGGCAGGTCAGGTGGTCTGGTATTCTTATCTCTTTCAGAATTTTCCACAGTTTATTGTGATCCACACAGTCAAAGGCTTTGGCATAGTCAATAAAGCAGAGATAGATCTTTTTCTGGAACTCTCTTGCTTTTTTGATGATTCAGCAGATGTTGGCAATTTGATCTCTGGTTCCTCTGCCTTTTCTAAAACCAACTTGAACATCTGGAAGTTCACGGTTCTCGTATTGCTGAAGTCTGTCTTGAAGAATTTTAAGCAGCACTTTACTAGAATGTGAGATGAGTGCAATTGTGTGGTAGTTTGTCCATTCTTTTCTTTGCCTTCCTTAGGGATTGGAATGAAAACTGACCTTTTCCAGTCCTATGGCCACTGCTGAGTTTTCCAAACTTGTCTTAGTTATTACAACCACAAAAAGAGAAAGTATAATTATGTGACATTATGGAGATGCAAACTACCATTAAAATGGCAAACTTATTACAATATATAAATGTATCAAATCAATACATTATATGCCTTTAATTACTAATGCTTTATGTCAATATATTTTATTCTTTAAAAAAAGTGTATGAATTTTAAACTAAGGATATCCCTACTCAGTAGTATACCTTATTTCATTTTTAGAACTTTTTGTATTTTGCATGCTTTTGCCATAAGCTTGTGTTATTTTCATAAAGATGTCAGAGAAGGAGAATAATCAGTCCACATCAGTGATTAATTTTTAAAGAAAGGACGTATTACAGTATGATAGAGATGCATCTTCCATAGCAGAGAAAAATCAGCTTTGAGTAGTAAGACAATGAGACAAAATACTGAAGACAGGTAACTTTAAATACTGCGTAAGGTCACTGGGAATATACCTATGACCTGGATGGACCATGTGAGTCAGTCATTCCTGATGGCTCAGTGGTAAAGAATCTGCCTGCAATGCAGGAGCCAAAGATGTGGGTTCAGTCCCTGGGTCAGGAAGATTCCTTGGAGGAAGGCATGGCAACCCACTCTGGTAATCTTGCCTGGAGAATCCCATGGACAGAAGAGACTAGTAGGCTACAATCCATAGGGTTGTGAACAGTAGGACATGACTGAGGTGACTGAGCATGTACACACCATATGAGTCATAGGAAAGTTTAGTGACCTTCATGTTAAGACTGATATCATCAGGGTCAAATTACATTTTTAACAAATTCTCTACACAATGTAATTTGCAAGGTTAAAGTTTGAAAAAAGATTCCATTTTCTTTTTTTCTGTTAAAAATAGTTTAAAAAAATTTTTTTGATCATAAGTAGGGTCAAAAAATATACATTTTATGATGGAAGGTTTGAGTCATTATTCTCCAGAAGAAAAAAATAATGAAATTAAAACAAAAAAAGGGAAAGAAGTTTAAAAGATAAGTACATCATTTTCACTAGCTATTCAGGAACCTTTCCTCTCTGCATTTTTTTTTTTTTTGTAGTAGAGTACAATTAGCAATGTGGAATTATTCTAATATAGAAGATAAAAATTTTATATTGGAAAGTATGAAGGACTACAAGACAAAATAATTCTGATAAAATTCCAAGCATACAATTTATTTAGGAGAGTACATTGAGCAATGTGGATTTATTCTAGTATATTAGTGACAAAATTATTTTTAATTGATGAGGATTTGGGGTTATTCAACAGAATAACTCTAAAACAATTCCAGGCAAATACAGCTTCACCAGGAGCTTTATTTAGTTTGATGTGAACTACACATTCAAAGCAGTTACACATAGTACATCCTACTGTGACATTAAAAAAGTATAAACAAACAGTAAAGGACAGAAATTGCATGGACCTAACAGAAGCAGAAGATACTAAGAAGAGGTGGCAAGAATACACAGAAGAACTGTACAAAAAAGATCTTCATGACCCAAATAATCACAATGGTGTGATCACTCACCTAGAGCCAGACATCCTGGACTGTGAAGTCAAATGGGCCTTAGGAAGTATCACTTCAAACAAAACTAGTGGAGGTGATGGTATTCCAGTTGAGCTATTTCAAATCCTGAAAGATGATGCTGTGACAGTGCTGCATTCAACACATCAGTATATGTGGAAAACACAGTAGTGGCCACAGGACTGGAAAAGGTCAGTTTTCATTCCAATCCCAAAGAAAGGCAATGCCAAAGAATGGACAAACTACTACACAATTGCACTCATTCACATGCTAGTAAAGTAATGCTCAAAATTCTCCAAGACAGGCTTCAGCAATATGTGAACCATGAACTTCCAGATGTTCAAGTTGGTTTTAGAAAAGGCAGAGGAACCAGAGATCAAATTGCCAACATCTGCTGAATCATCAAAAAAGCAAGAGAGTTCCAGAAAAAGATCTATCTCTGCTTTATTGACTATGCCAAAGCCTTTGACTGTGTGGATCACAATAAACTGTGGAAAATTCTGAAAGAGATAAGAATACCAGACCACCTGACCTGCCTCTTGAGAAACCTGTATGCAGGTCAGGAAGCAACACTTAGAACTGGACATGGAACAGACTGGTTCCAAATAGGAAAAGGAGTATGTCAAGGCTGTATATTGTCACCCTGCTTATTTAATTTTTATGCAGAGTACATGATGAGAAACGCTGGACTGGAGGCAGCACAAGCTGGAATCAAGATTGCCAGGAAAGGTATCAGTAACCTCAGATATGCAGATGACACCACCCTTATGGCAGAAAGTCAAGAAGAACTAAAGGGCCTCTTTATGAAAGTGAAAGAGGAGAGTGAAAAAGTTGGCTTAAAGCTTAACATTCAGAAAACTAAGATCATGGCATCCAGTCCCATCACTTCATGGCAAATAGATGGGGGAACAGTGGAAACAGTGGCTGACTTTATTTTTCGGGGTCTCCAAAATCACTGCAGATGGTGATTGCAGCCATGAAATTAAAAGATGCTTACCCCTTGCAAGGAAAGTTATGACCAACCTAGAGAGCATATTAAAAAGCAGAGACATTACTTTGTCAACAAACATCCATCTAGTCAAGGCTATGGTTTTTCCAGTGGTCATGTGTGGATGTGAGAGTTGGGACTATACAGAAAGCTGAACACTGAAGAATTGATGCTTTTGAACTGTGGTGTTGGAGAAGATTCTTGAGAGTCCCTTTTACTGCAAGGAGATCCAACCAGTCCATCCTAGAGGAGATCAGTCCTGGGTGTTCATTGGAAGGACTGATGTTGAAGCTGAAACTCCAATACTTTGGCCACCTCATACGAAGAGCTGACTCATTTGAAAAGACCCTGATGCTGGGAAAGGTTGAGGGTGGGAGGAGAAGGGGATGACAGAGGATGAGATGGTTGGATGGCATCACCAGCTCAATGGACATGGGTTTGGGTGGTCTCCAGGAGTTGGTGACGGACAGGTAGGCCTGGTGTGCTGCAGTTCATGGGGTCGCAAAGAGTCGGACATGACTGAGAGACTGAACTGAACTGAATAATTCCTAACTATAGTGTTTGTAGCCATCGTTAACTTAATACTTGCTATGCTGTTGCTGTTTTGTGATGGAGCAAATGCTTTTTTTCACAGGAAATGGAAGAGTTTGTGCAGAGCTCTGGAGAAAATGGTATTGTGGTGTTTACTTTGGGGTCAATGGTCAGGAACATGACAGAAGAAAGAGCCAATATGATTGCATCAGCTCTTGCCCAGATACCACAAAAGGTACACACAGTAACTTAATAGTGGACAACTATTTAACAAGTTGGGCTTCCCTGGTGGCTCAGTGTAAGAGTATGCCTATTCATTCAGGAGACTCAGGCTTGATCCTTGGGTTGGGAAGATCACTTGGATAAGGAAATGGCAAGCCACTCCAGTATTCTTGCCTGGAAAACCCCATGGACAGAGGAACCTGGTGGGCTACAGTCCATAGGGTCGCGAAGCATCAGACATAGCTTAGCAACTGAATGCAACAGCAATTAATGAGTCTGTTAAACTCTATAAAATGTCCAATTATGGACAATTTCTGCAAGAAAGGTAAACTACTATGATAGCTCCCACTTATTGGAGATATTTATAAAAAACAAAATATACATGGCAGGTGTTAAAGTGGTATGCAGAGTGTTTTTGATTGACAATAACTTTGGATTAACATTGTAATCAAGACGAGATGTTTAAGAGGTGTAGTATGAACTTTGGCATTATAATAGTATTGTAGGCGGGAAAAGAAATCATCAGATTCTGTTGTGTAGTTTACTCCTTTACCTTGATGGGCTCCTGAGGACTCTATATATATATATATATATATATATACACACACACACAAGTATTCTCAGAGGTTAAATTTTAACGTAGGCATAATACCGACTCTTTACAAACCCATGGACTATAGCCAGACTCCTCTGTCCATGGGGTTTTCCAGGCAAGAATAATGGAATGGATTGCCATTTCCTTCTTGAGGGGATCTTACCAACACAGAGATCAAACCCAGGTCTCTGTCACTGCAGGCAGACTCTTTACCATCTGAGCCACCAGGGAATCCCAATAATACAATAATGTTAAGCAATATTGACAAAAATCTGAAATGTGCCTTGAAATTTCTACCTGCCAAGAAATCCCAACCCCTTTCCTTTTCCTAAATGCTGAAACAGCCCTCTTCAGTGTCCTTTTCTGGTTGCTACACAAAGAAAGTATGGTCAGGGCACCTCAGGCTGCTGCCAGGTATCCATATAGCCACAGTGATTCAGAGAAAGAGAAACATCAGCCTCCTTGGTTGACAGTCCTGCCAAAGTCTGAGTCAGAAAGAGCAAAAAGGAAGGGTGAAAGTGAGGTCCTGCCCTTTGGGTGAACCCTGTGGGCAGAAAGAGCAAAGAGAAAGGGTGAAAGTGGGGTCCTGCCCTTTGGGTGAACCCTGTTTATTGTAAAGTCTGGTCCTTAATGGACTCTGCTTCTATTACTATTCTGAATTGAGGAAAGAAAAGAGGCTGTAAGAAGGAGCCAAGCATGAGAAAGACTGGCATGGAAAAGAATCAGCTGCCTCCTTCTCCATAAAATATGGTAGTAACTTATTTTCTAATGTATAAAATACACCAAGGGTCTTTGGATGTTTGTGAACTACTTTTTTAGTTTACTATCTGATATTGTAGTATTCTCCTAACGACACATGCTAATTTTTTGCTGGAAACCTACTTTATATTCACATAGCAAATAGAAGTTAAACAACTAAAAATTATAGTCCAGTTTATGAAGATTGGTTGGTACTAATTTAGCACCACAGTTTTTGAACTTTACCAACAGCTGTTTTGTTATTAATAGTTACAAATTACTGACAGGCTCTTCTTTTCTAAATTTAAAGAATTTCCTAACCTAGAAAAGTGTTAATACACTGGATTCATGCCAGAATTGCTAATAAACACTTTTCTTGGAAGTAGTGTTTAATAATTTGTAATCTAAAAGAAGCTATCTTCCTAAATAGCATTAATTAACTTGTTATTAATAAATTACTACATAAGCAGAAATATTGTCATAATTGGCTGATTGGATATATTCCTTTTTGTAAATCAAAAGATATAAAACTTTAGTAAAAATAACTTAAGCTATATGAGTAAGTGTATATAAGTAAAGTCCTTACTATGAATCCAAAAGGAAACAGTAAGAGACAATTAAATTTTAAAATGAGAACTAGTGTATGAAATAAAGCAAAATAAATGTATGTTATTAAATAATTTGCCACTTTTTTGGAATAGAATGGAGACCACATAACAATTTCTTAAATATTTAAATTTGCCGTTCAAGATCTCATTTCTCTATAGCATCATGTGTGAGATGTCATTAGTGTATACCACACCTGGTTGAATAAGTTCATAAAATGTTGGTCTTCCTATTGATGGCAGTGTATTAGTAGATATCATTACTTAAGAATTCATGTCCTTGTTTCCTTAACTGTCATTAGTTCAGTTCAGCTCAGTCACTCAGTTGTGTCTGATTCTTTGTGACCCCATGGACTGCAGCACACCAGGCTTCCCTGTCCATCACCAACTCCCAGAGGCTACTCAAACTCAAGTCCATTGAGTCAGTGATGCCATCCAACCACCTTATCCTCTGTCGTCCCCTTCTCCTCCTGCCTTCAATCTTTCCCAGCATCATCCACATTTCATATAGAATATGACAAAGTGTCATATGGAAGACATTTAACTAAATGTCTTCAATCTCTTTAGAATTCTATTCCTATAAATTTGAAGTTCAACTTATGGAATATTTTCTTTACTTTAACAGGTTCTATGGAGACATGATGGCAAGAAACCAGACACCTTAGGAGCCAATACTCGGCTATATAAGTGGATCCCCCAGAATGACCTTCTTGGTGAGACTTGGTAGAACAATTGAAAGCATGGGTAACAGCTGAGCAGAGTGATCATACTTCAACAGGAAACAAACTTACCGAGCATTTATTATTGAAACACTAAAAAGAAAACTTAGTCTTTTATTTTTATTTCCAGCTCTAGATGAAATTAGGAGAAAATATAGCAACTGTCACTTTATTAAACATAGTGATGTCTCTTATAGTCAGAATCAAAATGTCTTATTTTAGCTGTAATCATTTCTAGCCATGAACTTTTAAATAACTTCACAGATTGTTGTTCTGTCTCTGAATTCTCTATCTTTTCCCCCCTGTAGGGACATTTTAAGTTCCACTGAAAAATACCGGTTCCTCTTTTATTACCAATGACCCTTCATTTCCTGTAGGAAAAATTCCGCAATCATTTCCTTGAGGCAATTACACATTTTATGGTAATGTAGCTTTTCCGTCCTCTGGTTCCAGTACCACTACCATTACCCTTCCTGTGGCCTTGTCACCCTTTCTATCGGACTGAATGACTTTACTGTTTCTTTAAGAGGATATATTTCTGACATGCCCTCCTCTGGTATTTTTGTTCATTCACTTTATTTTATGCAGAGTATTCTTTCAAGCTATAACCTGCTGATCTTGAATTCATTTATCACATGCAAAAGATGAAGTACTTCTTTCATGAAGTCTTCACTTACCTCTTCAGCAACTTAGTGGATTCTTGCACTGAGTTCCAAAAGCAATTTAAATGCAGTTTCCTGTGTGTAATTAAGAGTTATATATATATATATAAAATTGCTTGCTTTCAGTGTCTTCTAATGCCCTTTTCTCATTTTTAAGACTTTTAATTAATAATTTTAATGAAATTCACACAATCCTAGGTCATCCAAAAACCAAGGCCTTTATAACTCATGGTGGAACCAACGGCATTTATGAGGCCATCTACCACGGGGTCCCTATGGTGGGCCTTCCTTTGTTTGCTGAGCAACCTGATAACATCAACCGAGTGAAGGCCAAGGGAGCAGCTGTCAGATTGGACTTGGAAACAATGTCAAAAAAAGATTTTCTCAATGCACTGAAGCAAGTCATTAACAATCCTTCGTGAGTATATACATATATATATATATATATATATATATATACACATACACATATATGTTTTACTACATACTATTTCTAGAAGCATTCTCATAGGAAGACACAAGAGGCAGCTAGGAGTCTTCAGTAAAAACAATGAGGAGTAAGATTTGCTCAATGCTCTGAAAACAGTCATTAGTAACCTTTTGGGTCACATTATGTGTTTTTGGTGGCTGTAGGGTAAAGATTTGTCAGAGGCTTAAGGATGGTGGAGAAATTTTGAAAGAGCTCCTCAGTAGAATGAGAAGAATCCCTTGATGGTAGCAAGGATTAAGACGAAGCACTGAGAACAAAGTTAAAGTAGGAAACCATGAACTCTTTAAGCACTCATCTGCACACTTACAAGTTTCCTTCAGCATATGAATTCCTCAAATGTTTTAGACTCTTCTAAAATGATCTAATTTTAGTAAATCACCATGACATGATACATCTCAAATTCTCATTACATTGAGCACTTTTCAAATTTTCTGTGCAAATATTTTTTTTCCATCAAAGATGAAAGATATAAACATCTAGAACTATCTAATTAATTATCTAATTACAACTATTTTGAGACTATTTATTCTTTACCACTAGTGCCACCTGGGAAACCCAAATGTAGGTACATTCTTAGTTCTTCTTTAGGTTGTTTTTGTCTTGTTTTGAAAAACTGTAAAATCAAAAAGTAATTGACTTTGAAAAGACATGTTGGGATATTCCTATGTAAAAACCAAATTTTCTGAAACCAGAAACATTTTGTTTTCAAATTGTTTCATGGTTTAACTTGAGTAATATTATTACCATTAATATCACAAATATGATGTATGTATTTTCCCCCTTTTGTTTCCTGATGACTTTGGAAAAAAACATTTTGAGACTATATTGGTAATAATAGCACAATGGACATTTGTGCTTTAAAAACAGTGCTATTTAATTTTAATTTTAGCACAAATATTACACTAAATGACTGCCATAAGAAGAATAGTTTCTTTCTTTCTAAAAGAAATATATGTTTAAGTAGGCAGTTTTATGTAAAAGTAACTCTCTAGTATCTTTGTGTATTTTTTAATTTTTAATAATGTAAAGCTAGCATCAACAAACAAAAATAATGTACTGCTTGATATATATTGACTATTTATGATATGGTACACATTGTACTAAGTCCATTGTACATATTAAGTAACTTCTTCATTATAAACTTTCCCTAGTCTATTAAAAGTATTTCTGAACTAATACCCTCTTCTCAAACACCCAATGCTCCCCCTGAGTTTTTTACAGAACAGGGAGAGAAGTTACCTCCATTGTTACCACACTGTTATTTAAAGTTCATGCATCATATCGCTTTATTCCTCCTTCCTTGTCTGTTAGTTCATCATCATTTCAACAATAAAAACAAATAAAACTGCAAAGCCTGAAGGTGAAATGTTTGGCACACCCTGTATTCTAAAAGAACTAGCGAGGAAAACAACAATAGTATTAGGAAACATTTACTGAATCTACTATATACTAATAATACATCTAAGGATCAATATATTATTCCTCCAAATAGTCAGATAGGATACTATTGCTATGCATTCCATTTAACAATGAAAAACTGAGAAAGGGAGTTTAAAAAGCAGGCAGCAAGGTCAGTGTCAGAGTCAGGATTTAAACGAAGGCAATTCACTTCCACACTTTAACCACTGCTTCACTAATGTAAAGTCGACACCAACTCCTGGCCAGTACAGTCTGGCCATGTCTCTGTAGCTCATGATCTATTTACCTCCTATCTCTGGATTATGATAGTGTTTCAAAGCTTCTCCGCCAGATCTCTTAACAATTCCTTACTGGATAGCTCAAGTCATGTATTTCTTTTCTTTTCACCTTCACAATTCAACTTATTCCATTCCCAGGCTACAAATGCTTCTCCTCTTTTGTCTTCTCTTTTCTTCATAGCTTGAAATCCTATGCATTCAACAAATTCTAGCCCATAAGCTCCTGTACGTGTGCTCAGTTGCTTTGTCATATCCAGGTCTTTGCAACCCCGTGGACTGTAGCCTGCCAGGATCCTCTGTCCATGAAATTCTCCAGCAAGAATACTGGAGTGGGTTGCCATTTCCTTCTCCAGGCCGATGAGCTTAGATCTCTATAATTATCTCTTAGAAAAACAATCAGTTGTTCTTCCACTCTATGTGGCACTCATTTCCTCTCTCTGCATGGAAATTTCACATATTTAACTTTTCTAGTTCATTCTATAAATTGAAGTCTCTTTGATTTTCCTTCAGGTATAAACGGAATGCTATGTGGTTATCAACCATTCAACATGATCAGCCTATAAAGCCCCTTGACCGAGCGATCTTCTGGATTGAGTTCGTCATGCGCCACAAAGGAGCCAAGGACCTCCGACCTGCTGCCCACGACCTCACCTGGTTCCAGTACCACTCTCTGGACGTGATCGGGTTCCTGCTGGCCTGTGTGGCAACTGCTGTATTTGTCATCACAAAATGTTTTCTGTTTTGTTGCCGCAAGTTTGCTGAAACAGGAAAGAAGAGGAAAAGGGAATAGCTGTATTTGGGTCCCAAAGCAGGAATGCCCCATAGGTGGAATTCTTCGGGCTTATTTCAACAGGAAGGAGTTATGAAAAGGCTCCTATCTTCCTGTGACAAAATGGCTTGTCACTGTTCAGCACCTCCTTTCAAAATTTGTTTTCAAGGAATTTTTTAACTGTTTAACATTTAGAAAAATGTCAGGCCAAGATGAAAGCTGATGAAAATTATATAAAAGTAAATGGGTAAATATTGAAATGTGTTAAGTCAGAAGTTTTACTAAAAAATTATTGACTATATTATAACAGTGTTTCACATGATGTGCATAGACACTAGAATGATAAACCTAGACCTCCTCTGACTGACGTAATCAGATAATAATGGACAGAATACAAAAATTACATAAAGTTTATGGAAAATTGGTAAAACAAATGAAAGCAATCTGAAGTCACTTTTGAAACCTGCACATGAGGAAAGCAGTTTATAATCAAGGTGGTCCAGGTGAGGAAATGGGTATTATTGACCAAGAGGACCACCATCTAAGTCATATAACATTCATCAGTCTAAGGGATAATTTATTCAAATTATTTAAAAATAAATTGATGCTTGGGGAACAATAGGAAAAACATACCATTGAATTTTCCATACTGCCTCTCAACATAATTGCCATGTTTAAAAAAGATAGAATTAATATGGTACAATAGTAGATAATATTATTAAATCACACATATAGTTCTAAATAATTTCCCACAAATCTATCCTGCAACACTTGTAACAAAAAAAAAGGGTTTTTCATTATTGTATAGAGAGAATTACTCTAAATCTCCAACAAAAAGTCAAATAGTCCAATATGAAAATAGATGGAAGATGAATAAGAAAGTCACAGAAGTGAAATGGCTGATGACACATAAAAAGAGACAAAGGTCACTGGTGCTTTGAGAAATGCAAATCAAGTCACTTATGTCTCTGGATATGTTCCAGTGTCTCCTAGTTTACAGTCTATGGGAACTTGAATAGAATTTGTATTCTACTGTTGTGTAAAAATTGCATAAATCGGAATATGTTGAATTGATTCATGATGCTTTTCAGGTCTACTATATTCTTCTACTTCTCTATAGATGAATGCATCTATTAATTTCTGAGAGTTTGATATTGAAATTCTAACTAAAAATCTTATCTACCTAAAAAATTGTAATATACAGGGAACAATATGTAACTGAATTTTCCAAGTCTTCTGTGAATGTGTTATCATGTTTTCATAATTTAAAATTTTTTTAAAGCAAATTATTTTCCAAAAATAATTTTCAGAACAAATAATATGGGAGAACTATTTTTCTGCATGTATAACATGGAGGTACCCTTGAAAATAAAATTTAAATATACTGTTTAACACTGCAACTCTACATCTTGGTTATCTGTCATACAGAAAGACTTGCATGTGTCATGCATGCTAAGGCACTTCAGTCGTGTCTGACTCCTTGCCACCCCATGGATTGTAGCCTGCCAGGCTCTTCTGTCCATGGGATTCTCCAGACAAGAATACTGCAGTGGGTTGCCATGCCCTCCTTCAGGGAATCTTCCCAACCCAGGGATCAAACCTGCATCTCTTATGTTTCCTGTATTGGTAGGTGGGTTCATAATTATCTACAATTCCCACTAGCACTTAAGTTGCTATCAGTTTATGAACCCACTAACCTACAACATAGGTGTGTGTTATACAGTCATGAGAGAAAACAGATGGATTGTGGACAATATTGTTGAATATTCTCCATGTCACATTACCAAGTAAAGAACAAGTTACAAAAATTACAGAAAATAGGCATGACACTCTTCTTTGGACATAAAATTAAACATATGTAAATATTTGCAAATTCGTATACCACAGAGAAAATGATCTTAAAGAATACACTGAATTTCCAATGAGGGAATTCAAATTTTAGTTCTATATATTTTTCAATGGTTTCTATTTGTGCATTTATTGTTTTCATAGATTTTATGTGAGATACAAGTGTTGGGACCGTCCTAACCCTCCAACTTGCTGATGTCATTTTATTTCTAATTCTGTGTCAAAGGGACTGCTTTGACACAAGAACCTCTCACTTGCTATTGTCTTTACACTAGTTTTATCCCTTACAAGGTATAGTTGACATCCTGTGCAAGGCTATCAATATTTAAATGGGTATGACTGACAAAACAATATTAAGCACGCTGCATAATCTGAAAGTATTCTACACTTTGTCCTTTCAGTTGCTTTCCACATCTGCTTTTATACAATATATTTACTTGAAGTGGAGCTGTTATATTTTAACTTCCTGACTGATTTCTCTTTGGATATAAGCATCAGTTGGGTTCAGTCACTCAGTCGTGTCCAACACTTTGCGACCCCATGAAATGCAGCACACCACACCTCCCTGTCCATCACAAACTCCTGAAGTTTACTGAAACTTATGTCCATTGACTGGGTGGTGACATCGAACCATCTCATCCTCTGTCATCCCCTTCTCCTCCTGCCTTCACTCTTTCACAGCATCAGGGTCTTTTCAAATGAGTCAGTACTTCATATCAGGTGGCCAAAGAATTGGAGTTTCAGCTTCAATATCAGTCCTTCCAATGAACACCCAAGACTGATTTCCTTTAGGATGGACTGGTTGGATCTCCTTGCAGTCGAAGGGACTCTCAAAAGTCTTCTCCAACACCACAGTTCAAAAGCATCAATTCTTCAGCACTCAGCTTTCTTTATAGTCCAACTCTCACATTCATACATGATCAGTGGAAAAATCAACCTTGACTAGATGGGCTTTTGTTGGCAAAATAACATCTCTGCTCTTTAATATGCTGTCTAGATTGGTCATAAATTATCATCCAAGGAGTAAGCATCTTTTAATTTCATGGCTGCAGTCACCATCTGCAGTGATTTTGGAGCCCAAAAAAATAAAGTCTGTCACTGTTTCCACTATTTCTCCATCTATTTGCCATGAAATGATGGGACTAGACTGGATGGAGATTTGTGACATTGTACAGGAAACAGGAATCAAGACCTTCCCCAAGAAAAAGACATGCAAAAAGCAAAATGGCTGTCTGAGGAGGCCTTACAAATAGCTGTGAAAAGAAGGGAAGCAAAAAGCAAAGGAGAAAAGGAAAGATATACCCATTTGAATGCATAGTTCCAAAGAATAGCAATGAGAGATAAGAAAGCCTTCCTCAGCGATTAATGCAAAGAAGTAGAGGAAAACAATAGAATGGGAAAGACTAGAGATCTCTTCAAGAAAATTAGAGAGACCAAGGGAATATTTCTTGGAAAGACGGGCTCAATAAAGTACAGAAATGGTAGGGACCTAACAGAAGCAGAAGATATTAAAAAGAGGTGGTAAGAATACACAGAAGAACTGTACAAAAAAGATCTTCACGACCCAAATAATCATGATGGTGTGATCACTAACCTACAGCCAGACATCCTAGAATGTGAAGGCAAGTGGGCCTTAGGAAGCATCACTACAAACAAAGCTAATGGAGGTGATGGAATTCCATTTGAGCTCTTTCAAATCCTGAAAGATGATGCTGTGAAAGTGTTACATTCAATATGCCAGGATATTTGGAAAACTCAGCAGTGGCCACAGGACTGGAAAAGATCAGTTTTCATTACAATCCCTAAGAAAGGCAATGCCAAAGAATCCACAAACTATAAAAAAATTGCACTCATCTCACACGCTAGTAAAGTGATGCTTAAAGTTCTCCAAGCCAGGCTTCAGCTATACGTGAACCGTGAACTTCCAGATGTTCAAGCTGGTTTTGGAAAAGGCAGAAGAACCAGAGATCAAATTGCCAACATCTGCTGGATCATTGAAGAAGCAAGAGAGTTCCAGAAAAACATCTATTTCTGCTTCACTGACTATGCCAAAGTCTTTGACTATTTGGATCACAATAAACTGTGGAAAATTATTCAGGAGATGGTATTACCAGAACACCTGACCTGCCTCTTGAGAAACCTGTATGCAGGTCAGGAAGCAACAGTTAGAACTGGAAATGGAACAGCAGACTGGTTCCAAATAGAAAAAGGTGTACGTCAAGGCTGTATATTGTCACCCTGCTTATTTAACTCATAAGCAGACTGTATCATGAGAAATGCTGGGCTGGAGGAAGCACAAGCTGGAATCAAGATTGCTGGGAGAAATATCAGTAACCTCAGATATACAGATGACACCACCCTTGTGGCAGAAACTGAAGAAGACCTAAAGAGCCTCTTGATGAAAGTGAAAGAGTGTGAAAAATTTGGCTTAAAGCTCAACATTCAAAAAACTAAGATCATGGCATCCGGTCCCATCACTTCATGGCAAATGGATGGGGAAACAGTGGCTGACTTTGTTTTTCTGGGCTCCAAAACCACTGCAGATGGTGATTGCAGCCATGAAATTTAAAGACGCTTACTCTTTGGAAAGAAAGTTATGACCAACCTAGCTGCTGCTGCTAAGTCTCTTCAGTCGGGTCTGACTCTTTGCTACCCCATAAACAGCAGCCCACCTGGCTCCACCATCCCTGGGATTCTCCAGGCAAGAACACTGGAGTGGGCTGCCATTTCTTTCTCCAATGCAAGAAAGTGAAATGTGAAAGTGAAGTCGCTCAGTCGTGTCCGACCTTCGCGACCCCATGGACTGCAGCTTACCAGGCTCCTCCATCCATGGGATTTTCCAGGCAAGAGTAATGGAGTAGGTGGCCATTGCCTTCTCCATGACCAATCTAGTTCAGTTCAGTCACTCAGTCATGTCCAACTCTTTGCGACCCCATGAATCGCAGCACGCCAGGCCTCCCTGTCCATCACCAACTCCCTGAGTCCACCCAAACTCACGCCCATCGAGTCGGTGATGCCATCCAGCCATCTCATCCTCTGTCATCCCCTTCTCCTCCTGCCCCCAAATCCCTCTTAGCATCAGGGTCTTTTCCAATGAGTCAACTCTTCATATCAGGTGGCCAAAGTATTGGAGTTTCAGCTTCAGCATCAGTCCTTCCAATGAACACCCAGGA